TTTCTGGCCTTTGTTTACCTTCTGTATTTGATACAATGTTGCGGTCCGGCTGGCTGAAGCCCGGCTGAATAAAGCAGGTTTCTGGGGTTTTGTTTAGCTTCTATATTTGCAACATAGTTGCTTAGAGTTGCAGCTGAGAGGCCGGCAAGTCAGGCGGGGAATGTTGGAGTCCGCAGTCACTGAAGCAAGCCTCCCTGTTCGCTTCAGTGCCTGGCTGCCGGCCACCATCTTGGCTGGCTGTTAATTTGCATATCGCCCTGATTAGCCAATGGGAAGGGTAGCAGCCGTACGGCTAATTACCATGTTTCTCTTGTCACTTGACAGATGGGAAAACCAAGGCACAGAATCACAGACTAGCTAAAGGGTGTGGGATGTAGTTGATAGCACAAATTGGGAACTATATTACCTCAATCCCAGTCCAAAATATCTCCTGGTAAAACACATTGTATTGAAATAAGAGAGAAATAGAAGAACAGGTTGTTTATGTCACAAAACTAGAAAGTTTAGAGGTAGGATTAGTTATGTTTTATTTTCAATACTGTGTTTGTTCTTTGTGAGATGGTGGTTTCTTCAATAGCTTGGTGAAAATATCCAATAAGACTTATTGGATCCTCATTATTTTATCTGAGATACTTAAAAATAATAATTCAATTTATAATTACTTGTTTCTCATCAAGAGATGTATGTAGTTTTACATATTACCAGCCCTTGTTTTTAGTTCTCAAATATTTCCCAATTGATGAATATACTAGTTAACTAATAAAGAACCGTTAGCTGTATGTGATGCTCAGCGTGCCAATTTCCCCACAGACTAGTTAGCCCCAAAGTGTCTGGACCTTCTACAGAGCTGAGAAACCAAATTTAAACATACTAAGTTACATTTCTCTGGTGAGATCCTACTGAGGTGCAGTGTAGCATACCTCAGTATGTCACTACAAAAATCTCAAGGAAATATGTAAAACTTTCAGAGGAATTTATCTGTTGTGTATCCAAGATGGGCAGGATCAAACATTGCATCTCCCATTTTCCCACTCATTCAACACTTGACAGTGGAGATACATGCAGTGGCAAGAATGCAGATCTGTGAAATTGCTTCACTTTCTGTCCTAAAAAAATCAAAAGTAAAATAGGTTCCCTAAAATATATTCCTATTAAGTAAAGAAAAAAGAATTCAGTTTATTTAATCCAATAAAATGCCAAAGATTGATGATTATCTCTATGATGTTAAAGTTATAGGAAATGGAGTATTATTATATCAACTAGAGGCCCTGTGCACGAAATCCATGCATGGGGGGGGGGGTCCCTCAGCCCGGCCTGCACCCTCTCTAATCCGGGACCCCTTGGGGGATGTCCAACTGCCTCTCACAATCTGGGACTGCTGGCTCCTAACCGCTTGCCTGCCTGCCTGCCTGATCACCCTTAACCCCTCTGCCTGCTTGCCTGATCGCCCCTAACTGCTCCTCTGCCGGGCGGGTGGCTTGTCCCTCTCTCGGGCTGTGCTGCAGGTGCAGGCACAGCTGCTGGCACCTGGGACCATGGGGTAGGTGGCTTGTTCCTCTCCTGGGCTGCAGTCCCAGCCACTGTCTTTATTTGGAAACTTCTACTTGGTCCAAATGAATATGAAAAAAAAAACATGTTACATTTAAAAAAATAAGAAGTAAATATGCACAAAAGTCTACATGCACACACATACAAGCACACACAGAGACCTGTTCCTCTACTCTAAATTAAATCATTCGCTCACTCTTTGTGTGCCTGTTGCCTCAGTGAGACAAGCCAAATCATTGATTTCCCCAACACATTATTCTAAGTCCACCTGGAATAAGTGAGGAATAGCACAAAGAATTGTGTAATACGTGCCAAATGTATTTTGAAATTTCTGTAGGAGTTCAGAGAAGAGTGAAATCTGAAAGTAACTTAGAGAACAAAGTTGAATTTTGTGGACAGGGAAGAGATGAGCCCAGACTACAGGTGGTCTCTGTTGGAAAGTAGTGGGGGATTCACAAAGCTGGGCGGATGGAATGGGTTCCTAGGCCAGATGTGAGCTGGGAACATTGTCCTGGAAGCAGAGGGAAGCCAGTGGATGGTTGGAGCATTATGAGATTGAGGAGTCAGGAGAAATAGATCTAAATCTGGCTGTAAGACTGACCGTTTCCTTATTTCCACAGATGAAATACTGAAATGGTGACCATTTGTCAGTTAACCCATAATTAGTTTCCCTAAATTTGGACAAGACCTTTTCCAAAGGGCTTTGCAAAGAATCACTTTGAAAACATTTAGCTTCTTAATCTAGAAAGAAAAACCTTAAAAGAAAATTTCCCTATGTCTTTACCAACTCTTCATTCCTATCTGGAGTCTTCCTCCCCACCTTCACCCCATTCCTTTTCATTTGGAATTTTTCTCTCAGGCTCTATTTGTTTTTTTACTCTCTGGGACGCATCTGCCTATATCGCCGCCATCTTGCTTCGCTCCCTATAACTCAATTATTTTCTTCCTATTTCTTCTTGGCAGATTTTTCACTTATTTATAATATGAATGAAAATATATTTTTTGCTTAAATTGTTATTATCCCTTTATTCTACTCCAAGTGAGAGGAGCTAATCACATTTCCACTTTTCCAATTCTAGTTACATTATATAATATAAAGCAAATCCAAATTTTTTCTCAATTGGCTATATCTATTTGAACTGGGGTGTTTTCTTTTATTTAATCTTCCCTTTCCTGTAAGTTCTTTGGCTTTTTACTTACTGAATTTACATCTATAGTTCCTAAGCCAAATTGAGACTCTTGGTCTGACAATTGGGCAAAATATTTGAAACCATAGATGCCCCTGAGGCATGTGGCTTCTGTCCACATTCACCCCTTTCCAGTTAAATCTCCTTGGCTTGAAAGCTAGATGATCTAGTCATCTGGAAACAGAACTACGACGTGTAGGTGCTGGATTTGCTCTTTTACTACATGACATTTGCCAGGAACATCTTTTTAGTGCTGGAAGGGGCTGAGAAAAAGTTTGCATTTGTGTCTGTGTTGCAGAAAAACCCACAGGCAGGGACACACCCATTTGGGAACAAGGCTCCTCTGAAAGTAGGAGGGAACAGGAACTGGAGGTACCTCCTCTGGGGCAGGAGTCAGCTAATAACTAACTATTCAAGGCGCACAGAGCACTCACCCTGCACGGGAGCCATTGGAGACAAGACCAGAGCCTCTGGTGCCAGTAAGTAACCACTTGTGACTGGTGGGTGTTTCCCAACTGTTGGGGGTTGCAAAGCTTGATGAATAAGACTCTCATTCCCTTCAGAAATGACCCAAATAAGGAATCAGAGGTCAGGCTGCTTTTAAAATGTAATATGATTTTCATTGTTTTTAAAACCCTGAAAATGTAGTAAATAAGCGAAACATCTGGAGTCAGCTGCTGTCAGGAAGGTCTTACCAGCTGTTGGCTTTGCAGGTGATGGTGCCGGGGAAGGTGGAGCGTGCTGAGCTGCTTGCCCAGGACCACAGGCGACACTGATCCTGTGGAGAAGTTCCACCTCCTCCTCCTCCGTGCCTGCCAGATCCTCCCGCTGAAAACAGCTAAGCCTGATGTTCGGATTTCTTAGAATCCCGGCCCCAGAGGACTCTGGAGAGATAAGCTGACCTCACACTAGGAACTTTATTACCCGGACCCTGGCAGGCTTTGTTGCCGCTGACTGCTTGTTGCAACAGTGCCTGGGAAGCATAAGTCTCTCTCACATCAGCATCTGTCCTTGCTTGCTGCTACCCACACTGAGAGAGACCTGGGGAAGCCCCAGCCTTGGGCGTCCTGAACAGCCTGGACATTGAGGCTGCTCATCCTACCTCCAAACACATTTTACAGGATCTAGGAGCACAGAGACAGTGGAAGCAGCCGGGAGAAAACCTAAAATTTTCAACATTCAAAGACACCGTGGCGTGGTGGATGTAGATGGAGAACACTGAGCGGCCTGAACAGCTTTGCAATTGTTGCACTAATTTGCTTTGACTCTGGCTTTGCCAAGGAGGGATCAGCACGTCCGGAGCACAGAGGGAATGTGCAGGGGAGCCTCAGAGGCCATTTTGCTTGGCTCTGACTCACCCTGACTCTCCAGTGAAGCAGAAAGGAGAAAACATCACACCAACCAGGTGTGGCCAGCCTTTGACCATTACTGTGAAACCCCAAGAGTTGCCACAGTTCCTTTCCAGGTACGCAGTTAGCCTTAGTTGTGGTTCAACTGAGACTTTTAGCTCAAGGAAAGCTATAGAAGAGGAGACAGTATGAGGCGGGAAGAGGAGGAAGAGGAGAGAACCGGGATGACGGCAAAAGGGGAGTTACTGATGAAGGAGGAGGAGGAGATCCATGACATGGGAGAACTGGTTGGCCCTTTTGTGAGTGCCATGCCCACCCCAGTGCCCCACAACAAGGGGACCCGGTTTTCCGAGGCCTGGGAGTATTTCCACCTGGCTCCTGCTCGTGCTGGGCACCACCCCAACCAATACGCCACTTGCCGCCTATGTGGCCGGCAGGTGAGCCGTGGCCCCGGGGTGAACGTGGGCACCACAGCCCTGTGGAAGCACCTGAAGAGCATGCACAGAGAGGAACTGGAGAAGGGTGGCCATGGTCAGGCAGCGCAGCGCCAGGACCCGAGGGGCCAAGGACCGCAGATCCCCATGGGCATCGAGGGCGAGTGGGCCAGGCTCCTGGAGCAGGTGGGGGCCCTGGCTTTATGGGCCAGCCAAAGAGAAAAGGACCTTCTCAGGAGGGAGAGGGCAGTGGAATGGCGGGAGAGGGCTGTGGAAAGGAGAGAGCGAGCTGTGGAGGAGGTGGAAAGGGCCATCCTGGAGATGAAGTGGAAGGTGAGGGCAGAGAGGGAGGCCCACCGGAGGGAGACAGATCAGCTGGCAGCAGCTCACCCCTTCCATTTTGTTTAAACCGGCCTTGGGGAAATCTGTTCTGAAAACACTGACTTTAGATTCCTAGCAAAGAGCCATTTTAGTTCCAGCTTAAATATACAGCAAGGCAATCTAGTGGGATTTTGCTTTTAAGAGAAAGCGTGCATACTATGTGTTAATATCAGCAAGTTCTGAATTAAGCAAATGTTTAACTATGGGGTTCCTAGTGTTGTACTGATTGAAACTTTTAAATACACTGAGTAAATATAGAGGTTGTGTCACACCATGGGTCTGTGAGTTGTTCTGGGTCACAATGTACCAGCCTGTCAGCACTGATGAGTGAAAATACTGGGATGTATGCCTAGCACTTGGTTTTGGTAAAGCTGGAGGTTTTGACAGTTGAGGCTGAACTGTGCCTGCATGGCCAGCTCCCTGTAAGAGGCCCCACCAGGAGCAGAGCTGGGGCTTCCTGGGGCCGAGGTGTTTGCATGCATCTGGCTGTGATTTGAGAACTGGATACAAAGCTTATTCTGTGGAACTGAGCAGTGGAAGGACAAAGAAGCTTGAGCCTGAGGTCTCCAGACCCTTCCGATGTATACCTTTTTCCCACTGTGGCAGTGCTATGACACCTGCTTATATTAAAGCTGTTCCATCACTCTAATCTGTCTGAATCTTGTCTTTTCAACAACTTAACACCGAAATGATTAATGATAACTACTGCAGAGAGAATGAAAGACTTTATAACTCATTTGAATTAAATATTAAGAATAGAGAACATAGCCATAGCCAGTTTGGCTCAGTGGATAGAGCATCAGGCTGTGGACTGAAGAATCCAGGGCTTGACTCTGGTCAAGGGCACATACTGTGGTTGTAGGCTCGATACCCGGCCCTGGTTGGGGCACGTGCGAGAGGCAACCAATCAATGTTTCTCTCTGTGTGTCTCTCCCCATCCCTTCCAGGTCAGGCAGCGCAGCGCCAGGACCCGAGGGGCCAAGGACCGCAGATCCCCATGGGCATCGAGGGCGAGTGGGCCAGGCTCCTGGAGCAGGTGGGGGCCCTGGCTTTATGGGCCAGCCAAAGAGAAAAGGACCTTCTCAGGAGGGAGAGGGCAGTGGAATGGCGGGAGAGGGCTGTGGAAAGGAGAGAGCGAGCTGTGGAGGAGGTGGAAAGGGCCATCCTGGAGATGAAGTGGAAGGTGAGGGCAGAGAGGGAGGCCCACCGGAGGGAGACAGATCAGCTGGCAGCAGCTCACCCCTTCCATTTTGTTTAAACCGGCCTTGGGGAAATCTGTTCTGAAAACACTGACTTTAGATTCCTAGCAAAGAGCCATTTTAGTTCCAGCTTAAATATACAGCAAGGCAATCTAGTGGGATTTTGCTTTTAAGAGAAAGCGTGCATACTATGTGTTAATATCAGCAAGTTCTGAATTAAGCAAATGTTTAACTATGGGGTTCCTAGTGTTGTACTGATTGAAACTTTTAAATACACTGAGTAAATATAGAGGTTGTGTCACACCATGGGTCTGTGAGTTGTTCTGGGTCACAATGTACCAGCCTGTCAGCACTGATGAGTGAAAATACTGGGATGTATGCCTAGCACTTGGTTTTGGTAAAGCTGGAGGTTTTGACAGTTGAGGCTGAACTGTGCCTGCATGGCCAGCTCCCTGTAAGAGGCCCCACCAGGAGCAGAGCTGGGGCTTCCTGGGGCCGAGGTGTTTGCATGCATCTGGCTGTGATTTGAGAACTGGATACAAAGCTTATTCTGTGGAACTGAGCAGTGGAAGGACAAAGAAGCTTGAGCCTGAGGTCTCCAGACCCTTCCGATGTATACCTTTTTCCCACTGTGGCAGTGCTATGACACCTGCTTATATTAAAGCTGTTCCATCACTCTAATCTGTCTGAATCTTGTCTTTTCAACAACTTAACACCGAAATGATTAATGATAACTACTGCAGAGAGAATGAAAGACTTTATAACTCATTTGAATTAAATATTAAGAATAGAGAACATAGCCATAGCCAGTTTGGCTCAGTGGATAGAGCATCAGGCTGTGGACTGAAGAATCCAGGGCTTGACTCTGGTCAAGGGCACATACTGTGGTTGTAGGCTCGATACCCGGCCCTGGTTGGGGCACGTGCGAGAGGCAACCAATCAATGTTTCTCTCTGTGTGTCTCTCCCCATCCCTTCCACTCTCTCTAAAAATCAATGGAAAAATATCTTCGGGTGTGGATTAAAGATATAGATGACATAAAAATGTATTCATAAATAGTTAAAAATGTAATCTAGTCTCATATTAAGGTCTGTTAAGGGAGAAGGAGTTAGTGAAGAAGAGATGAAAGAAAGCCAAAAAGAAAAAGAAAATGATAGATGGGTAAATAGAAAAAATATGGACCAGAGGCAGAAAAGTTAAAAAGAAAGAAAAAGGGATAAAGAAACATGAAAAGATGAGAGAAGAGAGACAGCTCCCTAGGCAAAATTCACCACAGGAAGATAAAAGAGACCATGGCTGTCTGGGAGAGTGAAGGACAGAACATTTTGTTAAATTCTGAGGTCAATTTTAATGAGTTCAGTTGCTTTTATTTTCTTTCTACAGAACACACAGACCACTTGTCCATTTGAGCAGTAAGTTTTGGATTTTATTCCTACCTCTGAAATGCTAACTGCATATCCATCCATTGTTCTCAGAGTTTTTAAAACTCTTCATCATTCAATTTTCAGAGATGTTTTGAAGAAAGGGTGACTAATAGTCCATAGGAAGAGAAAAAGTCCCTGCATTGCTAAAGATATGCCTAAAATGTTAACTCAGGAATAGAATAAAATTAAGGTGGAAATTACTCTGGTCTTTGAGCTAGAGCTGACTGTTGCTTTGGATGATTCCTCTAGAACCTTTAAAAAAAACTGGGCTGGGAATAGGGAAAACAGAATGGTGAAAGCTGGGAAAGATAAGAGGAGATAAAGATGGTAGCATTTTATTATTTTGTAGATAGTCTAAGCACTCTGTGGGCACTGTGCTTCCTGAAAGTGGACAAGATCCTCATATAATAATGGTGTCTTGCCTCGTCCAGTCCTCACCTACATGGCTCCCTCTTAATTGCTTTTTCTTAGACTCCACCAGCAGCTCTAACAAACAGATCTGTCTTCCCTGTGAGCTGCTTGTGGAACAAACACAGTTCAAACACCAGGCTTGTGAAAAACCCAGTCTGTAATGCAGTCCTGTAAATCCCTTTCCCTCCCCTCTCCCCTAGAAACCTGACTGATGTTAAAGATTTCACTTCCCATGTGGTTTCCCCATTGGGTATGGTTGCTCTCTAAGGCCTTCCCCAGGTGGGGTGAAAGCTCAGGCCCTCACCACTGCAAGGATGATGGTGGCTGGCAGACTCATGCCCATACATTTGGACTCAGAGACTTATTGTGCTACAATATGCTAGGAAAAAAGAAAAGGGGCCTCAATACCTAATCTTACACACACACACACACACACACACACACACACACACACACACACACAAAGAATGTTTCTTAAGAAGGTCAAGGAATCCCCAAAGATTCGGGCTTTTACAAAACCAAAATTAAATAAACAAAATATCAAATTCTGTAAACAGCGACTAGAGCTTTCCTTTCCAATATATGCTTTTAGGTTATGGTGTCTGTTTTATATGGTTCTTATTATTCTTTTCTTCCTTAGGCATGTTTAAGCCCAACTGCTTTTGTTTCCTATGTTTCATGTTAGGTAGTTTTCTTTATATTTCCCCCCTAAATTTTTTCAAATATAACAAAGGTTAAGAATGACAAGAACATGACCTATGGCGATGACTGAGTTAAAGTATGAAGCACAGGCCTAAGGAGAGACATGCGGCTTGTGGAGAGACTGCATTGTTGAGTCAGCTCTGGAATTTTCATGCGTCTCTCTTGTGCCTTCTTTAGCTGCATCATTGGAGCTGGGTTAGAGGGCCAGGGGCTCTGGGCTGAGGGGCTCATTGGCTCAGCATCTTTTGCTCTAATGTAAAAATCTGCTTTGTGGTGGGGCCCTGAAGTTTAAGCTGAAGGTCCCTTTTCCATCTCAGCTATGAAGGGAGGCTCCGTGCCATATTGGAACTCTGGTGGAACCTCCCGCTCAGGAACACACAAGAACATCCACCACAGGTGTGACACTTGGACACCCCTGGCCTGTCTAAGCCTGAGAGGCATCATTGTTACAATAATTTGGGAACTTTTCTATCTTATAGGAAAACTACATTAGCCATAAACTTTATAACTTTAGCCCTAGCCAGTTTGGCTCAGTGGATAGAGAGTCGGCCTGCGGACTCAAGTGTCCCAGGTTCAATTCCGGGCGGGGGCATGTACCTTGGTTGCGGGCACACACCCAGTGGGGCGTGTGTAGGAGGCAGCTGATCGATGTTTCTCTCTCATCGATGTTTCTAACTCTCTGTCCCTCTTCCTTCCTCCCTGTAAAATATCAATAAAATATATAAAAAAACTTTATAACTTTAGTAACGCTGGAAAAACTACTCACAACTGACCAAATGCCCATTGCTCTAACACTGAGTGCTGCTTGTGTAGTAATATGTAGCACATAGTAGGCATTTCACATGTTCATGTTGACTTAGAGTTAATTCTTAAGGAATGAAGGGAGGGCATAGAAAATTACCACTGCCCAACACCTATGGTAGCCAGATGGCAGATACTTTGCAGATGTGCTCCCATTTGATTCATACTTCACCCTTGTGAGGTTGGGATCAATGATGAGGAAGCTAAGGAACTGAGATTCCAGGGTCGAGTCAATAAGTGATGGGTAAGACTTCAACCCAGGTTATCAGGTTCCACAATCTATGTTCCATTTTTTCATTATCCCACACTGTCTCAATAACATAGTACATTTATGAATATAAATGCAGAGGTAAAAATGGGTGAAAGAGAGTGAGTGAAAGATAAATACTGGGGAGGAAAGAAATATTCCTGAGACATTTACAGTGTGCCATGTACTTCATTACTGTGCATAAATTTAATTCACCTAAGAACTTTGAGAAATATGTATTATGACCCCAATTTTAGAGGTGAGTTGGCTGAGACTCATGGGGGTTAATTACTTGGTGAGGATATGTAGTTATCAAGTGGTCTAATAAGGATTTGAATGCAGTTCTACCTGCCCCTGGAGCTGACTCCTTTCACTGTACCACCTGGCCTGGATGTGGGCATGCTAAATTCTCACCCCAGCTTGGCCCTTTAGTAGTGACTCAGCCAGTTGTTCAGACTCTCCAGGCTTTAATTTCTCGTCTGTAAAATGACAGATACTCTACCTTTTTTTGAGACTCGCTGGCAGGGTTTTACAGAGTTCATAACTTATTGAAAATACAGTGGGGATTATAAGAATATCAGAGTGAGGAATCATTAATGTTTGGCAAGATGTTAAAAGATCCAGAGACAAGCCGTGTCCTGTAGCTGGTTAGATGGATTTGGTGAGAGTTTATTCACTAATTCCTCAGGAAGTAAGTTTCTCCTGTTTTCCCTCTCAGCACTTAGGCAAGCTTGGTACAGAAGAGGAAATTTGATAACATGTAAGACAAAGTCCTTTTTTTAAAAAATTGGAATTTTGGGGTCCAACTTTATGGTTACATATCTAATTGAGTAATATTACCTATAAACACTGGCACCAAGAACCTACAAGAAGTCTTTATAAGAAACAAAATACCTACCAAATATTATACCACTAGATTATTGGTTTTATTTAAATTAATGAAATGAAGTCCACTGATAAAATTGGGAATTAATTGTGACAGAACAATTTGAAATAAATATTTTCCTATATGCTCAGAAATTCAATAGCAATGATCTAAAAGACTAATACATAAAATCAGCAA